GGGAAGAAAAGGCAAAATGATGCAAAACAAATGTCACAATTCTCATACATAGGGAGATTGATTTTGGAATTAAGAAATTGAAACTTTAATTAAGATTTGATTTGATTTAACTTTGTTTTAATGTCAAATTTATAGACAGTTTAATGAAATTTTGAATGCAGCTCTGTAAAAGGTTGACACCCTCAATTTGACATACCTGATCAACCAGAACATGAAGATCCATGTTAAGGTTATTTCCACCAAAATTGCAATTGTAATTCAAATTATAACTCATGACTTACCTTTCAATTATAATTAAATGCCATCTGTCATATGTTTGCCCAATTTACCAAATAATTCAAATCATTTTGTAAAGCAATAGTGTCTTCTTACAGCCAGGAACACTTAAATTAAGTTTGCTGATGATATTCATTTAAAAGAATGAGGTTCTAAAACTAAGCCTTCAGGTACCCCACTTGTGACATTAATCCCGTTTCGCTGAGCTTCATTTGTAACAACAGTCTTCTTTCTTCCATCTAGCCACTTTTCTATCCAATGAGCTAACTTATCCCCCACACCAAATAATTTAATTTGTGTTAACTTTTCATATATTTTCTGAAAATCCAGATACATGAAATCAACACCTGTACTCTAATCTACATAAAGAGAAATCACTTGAAAGAATATTGAACTATTAGCAAGGCAAGATTTTCTGCTAGTGAAACCATGTTGACTGTTCAACAGAATTCTATACTTTAAATTACTTTGCAAAGCATCTTTCATAAGGTTAATAAACTTTTCCTATCACTGGTGTAAGACTAATAGGCTTATAATTATTGGGACTTTTTTTGTTTTTTACCATCTCCCTTGAAAAGAGAGGTGATATTAGCCATTTGCCAATTTTCTGTCACCTGCCCACTGTTCAAAATGGCTGACATAACTAATCCATAACCTCCTTCAAAACGTTTTGGAAAATATCTGGCCCATTAGCCTTGCTACACTTTAAATTTCCCAATTCTTTCTCAAGCTCAGAATTAACCCTTTTGCACAAGTTGGGGTCAGTGTGTGCATGCCACAACTTTTCAGAGGTCCTTTTATAATGATAGTGTATTTTGTTAACTCTTTTACCCAACTGATTTACAGACAGTTTGAGGTAGAGTAAATGCCAGATATATTGTACAGGGATACTGAAAAAGACTAGTTATGTATTTTGAAGGTTCTAGAGGTTATTTAAATATTATACACAAAACTTTATGATGGACAAAAGTATTTATCCTTCATGTTGCAATCTTGTTTGCCAGAGTACGAGTTACTGACATTGTCAATTCAGACATATCTTGAGTACAGATACTTTTTATATATACATTTGAATAACTAAAAAAATCATAGATTATAACATTAATACCACAGAATTCCACTATGATGTATCTAGATTAGTAAATAAGATGTATTTTAGTCTAAAAAAATGACATTTTGAGCAGACTAAAGACACACCCTACCTCATTGAAATATTGGTTCAAAAGAAAGAAATGGCTGAGAAAGCCACTAGGGGGAAATTCTGTGCTTTTGATTGGTTATTCATGTCATGTATACGAGCAAGTGTATATAAGGGAGCATTTCCAAAAATGAAAATAGGTGGGTGGGATGCCACTGTTTGATTTATTACATGAGCAATATCTTAGCAAACTGAAAAGATAAGAGGCT